AAACATAACAATTGCTGACAATAAATGTAGGGGCCAACTACTTTTTTATGTGAGATGCAGGGCATCTTTTGTAGTTATGCCACTGCTTTATAACAATTGCTGACAATAAATGTAGGGGCCAAACTACTTTTTTATGTGAGATGCAGGGCATCTTTTGTAGTTATGCCACTGCTTTATATATAACATTGCAACCAAAAAAAGGAGACATTTTGTCATTTAAAGTATAGAGGTATTCAATAGTGTGCTTAAGTAGTCAAACTCAACCTTCAAACAAGTTTTGTAAAATAACTTCATACAGTATATTGCATTCGTGGCTTAGTGCATATTCTTCTGTTTGAAAAGTGATTTATAATCATGCATTCACCAACTATAACTTTTTTTTCTTTGCTCTTAAACTTTTATATTTGTTTATTTTACATCAACTTGTTAAAAACACTCAGTAACTTCTCTACGTTATGAATTTAGTGTATGATAAAACAAAGCAGAAATATAATGATGGAATCCTGTATGCAAACTTTTTAAAACCTTTTCACAAGGTAAGCTCACTTAAAATGCTACTACATAAATTTAAATGTTTAAACTTACCATGTGCCATCGTTCTTCCATGAATCATACAATTTCTTGCATTCTGCTAGAACTTCTTTATCTCCAAAGTATATAGCTTCTACTAGGGACAATGAACGTAGTTTCCTGTTGTAGTTGGAATAATGAAAAACTTAGAATTAAAACAAACTGTTACAATAAATGTATATTATTATATTCATTAACTCCCTTCTGGCTAGATCTTTTACATTTAGAGAGCCCCATATAATGTTAGAATGCAGCAGAGTGTTGTAAAGAAAGTTACTGAGAAGAATATCCCCCCCCCCCAAAAAAAAACACAAAAAACTTATCACAAGTTCCCAAGATGGTACTGTTATTTCTTATTTATATCAGCAAAAGGATAACACACTATGATGCTGACTTGAACTATGCAACATGACAACGACTACATTAAGTTAACATTTTATAGGTAACAAAATTACAGATTGTGCTTTTCCTATAAGTTACTGGAAAGTAATTCAAACCCCCAAAAATTGTTTTAATCATTATTATTTCATAAATGAACAAAATTTTAGGTACTTAGAGTAAGATAAAAACCTAAAATATATCCTAACAATATTTCTCTTGCACATTTGATCATTTTTGTATATCTAAGTAGTGTTTTACTTAAGAAGTTCAACTGATGAGTTCATAAGGAGACTTATAGTTTTAACAAAGAAATATGTAAAAACTACATTACAAAGTTGTTGCTATTCTCAGTAGGTTATTAGTTATTCATACCAAAAATTGTCTTCCTTTCCTGAATCAAATACAATGTTTAAAGAGAATATGTTTCACTACAAGATCTTAATACTATTATCTAGATTAGTGATTTCAGCATTATTAGCTTGTTTACCACTTGCCTAAATCAAAACTTTTGATATAACACTGAGAAATACTTAGAAAATTACTCAGCAATTTGAGATGGTGGTGGAAAAATTAAAAACCACAACTTAAGTCATCTTTTGTTTTTTTTTATAAAAAAAATCTATGTTCAAATCCACATCCTCGCATATCCACCTGCTGAAAAATGCTGATCTAGATGACCAAGAAAAAACATATTTTTCAGTAATCTGTTATAGTAATATTCAGTTTTTTTCTGTCTTGAAAATAATACACATGCCCCTTACTATATAAATGCATATGTACTTCATTTCAATGGGTGTAAATAAAAGGCAGATGTAAATCTACTTTAGTAGGCATTTTGTACAGCAACATATCAAAAGCTTAAAGTTTTTAAAAAAGTCTAATGTTAGATTGTAGGATAATATTATAAGGTTATTTATTAATAGTGTTAAGTATGGTAAATTTAAGCTCTAACTAAACTGAAACAATATCTATGATAATAAAATTAACAGTATAGTAATATTACTGTATATACAAAGTATAACTAGCCAAATTGCCAATGTATAAAGAAAAAAATATTATATTCCTATTTTTAAACCATTAAGACAATACTTCCTAGCTCCAAAGATAAAGACATTTTAGAGAAAAAATGTATATATCAAATTAGGTATGAATGTGACAAAAATATATTGGCCAAACTAAACATAATTTGAAATATCATCTTAATTAACATAAAGGTTATATACATAACAAAAAAATGCTAATTTCTCCTCTTGCTGAACACATTGTTGAAACAGGTCATTCAATGGCATGAAACAATAATTTCAGATGAACCTAATATCAAAGTAAATTGAATATTAGAGAATCAATATAAATTTTGTGCTGTAAAATAAATACTTCTTTCTTAAATACAGATGAAGGGTTAGCTGGTGATAATGCACAATTTTGTAAAGAAATATTGAATTCTTATGTACAATACTGATACCACCCTCATAGATTACAACGAGTTACACTTTTTCTATATAAAACTACCTGCTTGTCATGTAGGTTTTTACTCATGATGATGGTAGCATAAAGGTACCAAAACATATAGAGTCATTTGAATTTTGGCCATCAACCAAATCTAATTTTCTTTTGCATTTTAAACGTTGATCTTGCATTTTATTTTAAAAATTTATTGCACAGGTTGCCGGTTGTTAGGGTGCTTGACTCGCAATTTGAGGGTCACTGGTTCATATCCCTGTCCCAACAAACATGCTCGCCCTTTCAACCGTGGGGGCATTATAATGTGATGGTCAATCCTACTATTCATTGGTAACAAAGTAGCCCAAGA